GTGTAAATATTAGAGTAAGATGTTTAGTGACAATGGAAGATTCCTTTCGGCAATACCATTCTTTTTTGTTCTAAGAGGAGAGTTGAGGATAAATCACTGTTGCTTGAGGCGTCCCAAAAGGTAAGTACGAAAATATACGTTCAAACAGAAATGCAATGAGAAGTTCCCAGGTCGCATCATCTCTCGAAACAGCGAAGTCAATTGCCCACAACTATCGTACAACTTGACGCCTTTAGATTTCTTCCTTTGGGGTCATCTCAAAAGTAAAGTCTATGCCAACAAGCTAATAACAATTCAACAGCTGAAGGATGAGACAATAAGTCATATTGGTGAGATCGAGGAGCAACTATGCAGAGACGTCATCAAAGATTTTGACCTCGTGTGAACGTGTGCCTTGGCGGACATTTGGACGATATTATTTTTCATACATAATTGCTATGACTTAAATTTTCATCAATAACACTGATTTATTTACTGCTGACTTTGATCCGTCTTAATGTGTGTGTGTGTCTTTCTATCTATCTATCTATCTATCTATCTATCTATCTATCTATATATATATATATATATATATATATATATATATATACATATGAATAGAGAGATTCTCACGTTTTTATAAACATGCTCTCACACAAACACACCTGCGCGAATACACACACGAGCACACAAACACACACACACACACACATATAAAGGGTGTTCCAATAACTTGGATCGATATTAAATGTGAATTAAGTTTAAGCGTCTAATAATGTTTTTCTTTTTCTTTCAGACTTGGCTGACATTAGGGCGATATTAATTTTCACACATAATTGCCATAACTTAACTAATATCATTGATTTGAGAAATAAATATATTCTCACCAATAACACTGATTTATTTACTGCTTTGATCCGTCTTAATGAAACACCATTTATATACTCGTGTGTGTGTACGTGTGTGTTTTTGTGTGCGTGTGCGTGTGTGTGTGCGTGTGTGTGTGCGTGTGTGTGTGCGTGTGTGTGTGTGTGTGTGTGTGTGTGTATGTAAAGCAACCTTAAGGAGAGTTTTGTACACTTTCATTTCCTGTGGGAATCCATTCTTAACGGTGTTTATTTGGCGGGAAATGTTGTTTCGTCGCCCTTTGATTAATATAACCCGGGTCACACACGAGCTAATTTCTCGCTTTTCCTTGCTAAACATCTACCGCCTTCGATTGGAGAAGAGTTAAATTGGATCTGTAGGCGTTACATTTACTGAAACTGCAATGTTTAGCAAACGACACACGTATACCAATCACTTCATCATCTTTTTATCTGTCAATCAATCGATCGATAAAATTGTCCTTACATGCAATTTCTTCGATCAGGCACAGTTTATCCGTTAATTTTTTGTTTGTTCATCTCTCAAGTTAGATCAAATGTATGCTTCTTGAAAAACTAACAAGGAATCGCTGAAAGTTTTCCATTTTTATTTTTTCTGAAGGTAAGACTTTATTATTACTGTAGAGTATTGCATTTGTAAAATTTACAATATAAATTATATATATATATATATATATGTGTGTGTGTGTGTGTGTGTGTGTGTGTAAAAGAACGAAGAGCAAAATTTCATCATTCAAAGGATTAATTTAAAACAGGGTTCAATACAAAAGTAGAGCAATAAATATTTATTTATTATGCAGTAAGACATTAGAACATGAAAATACCCACTACAAAACTGTACATCTTATTTCAACGTCAACATTTTTTAATGTTTCATCAGGTGGGAAATCACGATGCTGATAAAATATTTTAATAGCATCGTGATTTGTCACCTGATGGAACGTTACAAATTTAAAGTTGAAACAAGATGTACAGTTTTGTAGTGGGTATGTTCATGCTCTAATGTATCACTGCATACTATATATATATATATATATATATATATATATATATATATATATATATATATATGCTAATACCCTTGGAAAATGTATTAATCATATTCTCCCTCCAGCTATGGTTAAATTGCAGGAGAGACTGGGTTCTATAGACTGGTCTAAGAAAAGGACAACTCTGAATTCAAAACCTGCGGAGGGTCGTTTGGGACCTTGTGACACGTAGTGCACCAGGTCTCTGTATTCGGCCCTTCAAAAAGTGTGAATGGTCCTGCACGAAGCCTTCACAACTATAATCAAATCATATGTGCAGGTTGTCTAACTGTCGGTTCTTATGAACTGAGCTCTCTGACACTCATACGTCAAATACGACGAGGGAGTCCTCCATATATATATATATATATATATATATATATATATATATATAAAAAGAAGATAAGAGAGGTGCCGCAAACGTTTTTGGTTGTAATGTGGATTTTTTTAGAAAAAAATATTATGCTTTATTTTCCATAATTTTACTACACGAGTTTCTGGTCTCGTGACCGTCTTCAAGTAAAAGCGGAGATTTCCACATATTAAAAATAATTCATTTTTTTCCTTATGTTTTCCAATGTTAAATATTCTCGATATGTGACATTCTCTGTTTTTGGTTTAGTTATCCGAATGTCTTTTTTGAATTGGCAATGAAGAGTTCTGCGCGAAGGGTCATAAAACAATTAAGGTTGGTCCGAGAGAAATGATGAATTACTTTTAATGTTTTAATGACACCTGTCTGTTCTTAGATCTGTTTCCATTTTCGTGTGTATCTGTCAGCATGCGTGTATATATGCGTGTGTATATTCCCCCTCCATACATATACTGTCTTACTACGAGGAATTAGTAAACTCATTTGTACACATACACACATACATACACATACACACATACACACTGTCCCACCACAAGGAATCAGTACATACACACACATACACACACACACACTTCCCAAGCTACATGGAACCAGTATACACAAACACATACACACAGACATAAACACACATACGTACATACATACACACGTACTTCTTAAGTTGTGTGGGGTTTGTATGCGTGCTCGTGAGTAGTTCCCCTGTTTTGTCAACATGCGTATATATATATATATATATATATATATATATATATATATATATCTTCGTGTCTCCTGTATGTTAGTGTGCGTTCATGTATGTGAGTGATTTGATCACTGTATTTGGTAAACTGTGTGCTTTTGCATATATATATGTATGTATGTATGTATGTATACCCAAGTATATAATTGGTGTATACGGAATGAATTCCAATAACCAACAATTACTATTCTTAAAAGAGTGCTCAATACAGAGCAGATATGATTATTTATTTTTTAAAAATTATAACATAAATATGTTATAAATTCACTACAGAAATAGCCATTTTGTTTTAACCCCTCCGGTGTCTTATCAAGTGATGATGTTGAATGTAAAATAAATGGTTTTAAAAGTTTCAAATTAATTAACGATCCTTCGCAAGGGGGAAACGTTGTTACAAAAGCTAGAATGAACAATCAAAATACAAGTATAGGAAAATTCAAAAAGCTTGATAACGAAGTCATGTTATAATAGCTATTCAGATCTTTAAAATAGGGTTAATATTAAAAAAGAATTTATTCTAACCAATAATTATTATATTATATGATAAAATTTGATATTAAAATTAAAAGTAAAAATTACCAATTTTAAAATCCAAATTTAATCACTACTAAGTTTAAAATCATAAAATTACTGAGGAGAAAAGAAGAAATACATATGTTATTCAATTTATTTCTTCATTGAAATTACGTTAGAATAGACGCTGATATGTTATCCGGTCCTCTGACAATATATATGTATACATTTTAATCCCAAGGGTGTGAATGTGGTTCTAACCTCACGCGTAAAACAATACAAACACAATCAGATTATAATACATAAGCACCCAGACATATTTAGATATATATACACACAAAAAGTGACGAGACAGGGAACATCTCCACGGCCCTTTATAAAAAAAAGCGGGGAAACAAACACATGCATACATACACAATTAAAAGTGAATGCACTTTCCATACACATAGACACCGATAAATATATGTACACACATCCACCGACATTGACCTAGACAATCAGATACCACACCCAAGAAATATTTAAGACTGAAAGTGTCATTAAACAAATGTTAACCACTTATTAAAATATAACTTAAGCGAGCAAATATACAAAGATAAAAATGGTTAAAAATAATATTATTTAATATATTAAAAAACGAAAATTCCAAACCCACAAATATCTATAAAAACATATATTTTAATCATATAAGTTGATATATTATATATTAGATGAAAGAAAATAAGATAAAAAGAACTACCTACAGAAATAAGTTTACAGTCACACGTATATACATATATACACATGTACATATGTGTGTGTGTGTGTGTGTGGATGTATGTAGACATATTTCTGTGTATATGTGTATGTGTATATATGTATATACGTGTAACTGTACATTTATTTCCGTAGGTAGTTCTTTTTATCTTAGGACCCCATTCACACACTTGAGATTAAAATGTATACATATTGTCAGAGGACCGGATGACATACCAGCGTCTATTCTAACGTAATTTCAATGAAGAAATAAATTGAATAACATATGTATTTCTTCTTTTCTTCTCAGTAATTTTATAATTCTGAATAGTGATTAAATTTGGATTTTAAAATTGATAATTTTTACTTTTAATTTTTTTATCAAATTTTATCATATAATTTAATAATTATTGGTTAGAATAAATTCTTTTTTAATATAACCCCTATTTTAATGATCTGAGTTGCTATTATAACATGACTTCATTATCAAGGTTTTTGAATTTACTTATACTTGTATTTTGATTGTTCATTCTAGCTTTTGTAACAACGTTTTCCCCTTGCGAAGGATCGTTAATTAATTTGAAACTTAATTTGAAAGCTTTTTGAATATATATATATATATATATATATATATATATCACTGAGTGTGGATAAAGAAAGGAAATGGCCTATTTACTAAATGCATTTCAGATTCTCAGAATCCTGTGCCATACTCAACTTAGTAAATAACCATAGACAGATACATAGATAGATAATGAAGTGGCTATACACATATGAACAAGCTGAGATAGATAGATAGATAGATAGATAGATAGATAGATAGATAGATAGATAGATACTCACGCATACACGCATGAAAACAAATATCGCCATAGATATGTTTGGTCTGCCTTTCAGTTCGCAGAAGAAGCAATGTTTGAATCCTGTATACACACAAGATCTTAAAATAGTTTAGCTTTTGCATTCCAACCAACCGTAATTAGGATAATCAAAAACGCAAAAAGCAAAAAAAAAAAAATAATAAACATCACTCTAAACGTCCTCATTGTGTATTTAATTCCGTGATCAAAATAATTGTGATTGCACAGATCGATACCTTTGTTTTCTTCTGTTCAATAAATTACTGATGAGACTGTCGAAATAAAATTGTAGATTTGGGAAAATATCAACTGACTAAATTCAAATAACCATTTTTATCACGCGAGCGAAAAATTCGCGTTAGATCTTCCTGCCTCAAGAGAGTTTCTTTTCGAATTATTTAAATATGAAATTCATTGGAGCTAAATTTATTGCAGGTCGGGAAGATGAAAGAATGTATCATGCAATCATGCAACCTAATGTAATACACGAATTTCTAATTATGTTTGTTAAATATAACTAAGTTTCGCACAAGGCTATGTTCACCAAGAATTCAAAAAGGATACCAGTAAGGTTTCCAGTCTCAAAGATTATGTATAAGGGATGTCCGAAAAATTGGATACAAAATTCAGTCTGTTGTAAATAAACTCATGCAAATAATCATTGCGCATATTTTACTGATATCCCTATGTAATCTATCATGTGGTCGCCATCGAAATTTAAACCCTTGTTGTTGAATGAACAGATAAATGACCCCTTCGACGAACAAGGCCTGAAGTGACTTCAGCCACCCTTTCACCTCTGAAACAACAACGCCGTCCATGTGTAACCGCTTCCAGGATGAATGTCGTTTGTGGTGTCCAAATGATAATAAAATATCCCAATATAAGTCACTCCTTTGTCAGGTTGGCGTGTGGGAGAAGCGTTGTCAGATAGCAAAATAGTTTTCCTTACGCCAATGTCCTGACCTACAGCCCTCCCTAAATCTATTAACGAAGATCTCCTCCCCAGTCTGTCTATTCTTTCACAATGTCTGGCTGTCTGATTATGCGAATCGAATATAAGGATCAAGCAAGCACAAAACTGAATTATCTCGGTAGGGTAGAAAAAGCAGAAGGAAAATGTGAAACAGAAACTGGATGTCGAGCGAAATGTACCTTCCAGAAACTAAGTAATATATTAAGACAAAGCGTAATCTATATATATAAAACAGAAAATTTCAATCAGTCTATGTGTCTGTGTGATACCTTTTTACTCGAGATCCATGCAACCGATTTTGACTAAACTTGGCATATACATTGCATATTGTAAGAGATAGGTTCTTCGCGTAAAAAATCGATATTTTAAAAAAAAATCAATATTCGATAAAACCGATCAAATATCGATAAATTCGATTTCTTTCTCCGATTACTTTCAAACTCGGTATGTAGATTACTTACATCATGACGAGCTCAACGATACCTCATTTTTATTTCTACGCTACTACGTTTAGCGAAAAACTGCGTAAAACGAAACATCACTTTCAACACAAATCGATTTCAACTTAAATTTTAAAATAAAATCTCCCTCAATTTTCAAGCAATCTAAGACAAACTTCACTCAATTGTAGCAAACCATAAGTTAATTATTTAACAATCATTTAACTTGATAAGTGAGTCCACCCATATAGTGAAAACGCGCGTAAAAACCGAAAAATAGCGAATTTTTACTGGTTTCTTTCTTATTTTTCGTTGATATTTCAAACAATTTTCATCAAACTTAACAATTGCTTTATACATTTATCCTCTTTTACATCATTGACAAATTGAATTTCAAAAACTCCAAAATAATTGTGGTCTGAAGCGGGTTTTCATGTTGCCTGTTTTACCCCTTCATGTCCTCGGCTAACTTCGATTGAATAAATACAGACTACTTCTGTTATATCAGTAACTGCATTAATTCAAAATGTTTTTTTAATGAAAGTACCTTAAAGTAATTGAAAAAGATACACTGTTACATCTAAACATGATGCTGTTTTTGCTCCATTCTAATTGAACGCTTTTCCTGATCGATCAGCTGGGTATGGCTGCTAGTAAACAGTGATGACCTTCTATGTGATATCTAAACTTCTAGATGGAAATAAATCCTGGACAATCTCATAAATAAAAAAGCGTCATGAATCATCAAAGACGTGGTTCAACAGACGATGTTAAGAATACGATGGACAGAGCATATAAGCAACGAGGAAGTCTTAAAGGGCATTTGAAGAACAAAGGAAGTATTTTTTTTTTCCTTATAATCAGAAAGGAGAGCTGAAAAGTTCTGGGATACACAATGACGACAAAAAGCCCAGGGAATATAACACTCACAAAATATATATTGATGAAAAAAGAAGTAAGAAAGATCGAATAACCTACTTAGTGAGTTTGTGTGAATGGATGGATGAACAAGGTCAAAAAGGGTATAAGAAGAGTTCCGTTAAAATTTATTTAAAGCATAAAGAGACATAAAGCTGTCTAAAGGCATGATCGTCCTAAAAGAACAGAGCCCATGAAACAAGAAAAGACGTTTGGCATTATCAAATGCTTCTACATTACTTTTCATTATTCTGATTTACCGAAAGTTAATAATAATAGATAGTTCTATAATAAAAATGCAAGAATCTGTCTATATTTCTGAGATGAGGTATTATGTACATTATTTACATCATTCCGACTATTGTCCTTATCTTTGTCACCATATTTATTAAAACTTTTCGGCCTTTCAGTATCTGTCTATATTTCTGAGATGAGGTATTATGTACATTATTTACATTATTCGGACTATTGTCCTCATCATTGTCGCCATATTTATTAAAACGTTTCGGCCTTTCAGTATCTGTCTATATTTCTGAGATGAGGCATTATGTACACTATTTACATTCTTTGACAGTGCTATGAAAATGGATTTACTTATGTCTTCCGGTATATCACCACTTTCTTATATTTCATTTATTATGTCTGTAATCTTGTTCAATGCCGAATTCATACAAGGCTGTCAGCATCTCTATTACGATTCCGTCAGGTCCTGCTGCTTTGTTTCAGTTCAATTTAACCAGTGCTTATTGCAATATATATTTTAAAATTTCTGCTCCTTCGATATTTCTGTGTGTTGCCGGTTTTTCCTTTACGTCGTGGAAGAATTCTTCGGTGTAGTCCTTCCATCTTTGAACTATTTTTCTTTCTCTAATATCAGTGTCCAGTCCATGGATTTTATGCATATTGTTAATGAGCATGTCTTTTAACCTACTAATTCTCTTGTTTTTATGCATATCTGCTTTATCTATGAGACTCATTCTTTCTATTTCTACACGCTTTCTATTGAGCTATTCCTAGCACATAATTAATAGTGTGTAGTGAGTTGGATTATCACTGGGTATCCAAAAGTAGTGCTCTCGTGTTAATCTAAGCTAAGTTTTGTATATCCCTATACTATCTCTGATAAACATCTCCCTATGGAGCAAGTGATGTCCCGCTGTCGAATTCTACGGCATAATTCAATTTTTGCTGAGTCTCCTACAACTGAGTCTTTGTACCTGTCATTGTTTTGTAACCTAGTGAAGGTTACTGAATAGAATAATCAAACTGTTATGGTAATTTAGTGTTCATAACACTACGCATGCGGTTTTCTGCCAGAAACGTAATTTTATCAAACGCTTTTTCATTATCTATTAACATAAGTATGCATCCTTTTTCATTTATAATGTACTTTCTAATAAAATTCTGGACCAGAAATGTCTCTCACTAGAAAGGAACTCACTACAGCCATAACGCTCAGCGAAATTGAACCACTTGCTCTTACTCCACGGAGAGACTCCTCGCGGCGAAGTTATTTGTTAAACTGATTGCACCTTTCGAAATATTTCACCGTCATTGAATATCTCGAAGCGAGCAAACGTTTTGACTTTAGCACCTTCATTTCCCGGTTATCGCGCTGAAACAAGCGAAGAACAAAGAGATCAAACGCCTGAGAATTGAAAAAGATCGAACGTTGATTTTATCTAATCGATGGTGTAAACATTTGATTAACAAGTGAAATGTCTCTTCAAAAAACTGGCGTCAATTTTACAAGTTGTTGAAAAGTCCAATCCAAAAAATCGATCGTTAGATATTCGATAGCGTCCTATGAGTCAAACAAACAAAGAAGACAGTTCAAGGTCGGCGAAGTAAAATTAATTCATCTAAGTCATGATCACTTATCAGTATGACATATGGTTCGATATATATATATATATATATATATATATATATATATATATATATATATATATATATATATATATATATTCATTCAAAAAATGACAGACAGGGTACTACGATTAAGCTTATTATTTAACTTTTCTTGTGTTCGAAGAAGTGTTTTCCTTTGGGACACAGAGTGTGTAGAAACTATCCAAATGTTCTATATTTTCGAGCGCTTTCGGCTATACTTTTAGCCATTATCAATTTTATTTTTTTCAGTTTAATTGAATATTTGCGTTGTGTGTATGTTTTTAGTGGAGATTTTTCGTAGTTAATATTATTAAGTAGTGTTTTTTTTTCGTTTTTATTATTAAGGCTTCCATTATTTTTAATCTTTTTTACATGTGGATGAGGTTATTATTTCTGTATTTTCTACCACTATGTTTTGGATGGAGTCTGGTAAGTTTGTGTGTGTGTTTAAATGGGTTCTAATAGAGCTGTGGTCAGATTGGTGTAGCATAAGAGGTCTAGATAGGCATGTAGTCGTGTGACCGATGAATTATTTATGAATTCAGTTTGATCAGGAACACAGTTCCATAAGGAGCAGATTGAACAGGAATAAGGATAAGGAGCAGAAAATGTTCGTTTTTTATTACATGACTCCATATATATATATATATATATATATATATATATGAAATGGGTTATAAATCAGAGGATGTTCAAAGTGGTTTGACGCTTTAAAATAGTCATACCTCACTTAAAGACTTACTTGTTTAACGATCCTGGACTTATGCCCAACTTCAAAATGTCGTAAAATAGAATACAAATGTTGTATTGTAAGTTAGTATTTTCAGTTATAGCAAAATCTTTCACTGTGATTGTCTTCTCTTTCTTTAAAATCAATAAAAAATGACTTGTGCTGTATTTACAATATCCAAAACAAAGTAGAGAATATAGAGCTTATTTTTTTAATGTATAAAGATTTATAAATAAATTAGAAACCTTACTACAAACTTACATACTTTTCTACTAGTTTTCAAAGAAGAAAGATACTGTACACTTTATATCTTATTCATTTCGTCTTTATATCTCCCCATCTATAGCTGTCGATCGTAGTTTTTTGTCATCTATCAAAAGTCTGGCTTGGTGGCCAAGTTATTTGCGTGTTTACCGCTAATTTCGCATTCGTCAGAATTTGCATATCAAATGTTGACCTTTAAATCTGGAAGCATCTTCCCATTTGCAAAAGAGAAATGCGTACGTAATCCAGTATCTGCTGGGGATATCGATCTCTGTTTTCATGTTTGATTTATTTTGTTGCGAATGAGCTTGTCAATCAGTAGATCGTCATTTTTATATATGCATATTATTACGCAATATATGTAAATGACTATGTATGTAGGTATGTATGTATAGATAGATAGATAGTGAACATGCTGAGATAGATAGATAGATAGATAGATAATGAACATGCTGAGATAGATAGATAGATAGATAGATAGATAGATAGATAGATAGATAGATAATGAACATGCTGAGATAGATATGAAAATTTACAGGAAGTTGCTAGATAGAAAACAAGATAAATTTATAAATAAAACTTAATTCTTTTACTTCGGAAGTTGAGAATAAAACCTTTTCTTGCCTTTTGAATGTTGACTGTTGGAGTCAACGGCCCTTTTTACCCGCATAAACATTTGTTGGTTTCTGGATTTTTGTCTAAAATCAAACATACGGGTCACTCCCAGTTGTGAGGCGACTAGTGATGGAGATTTCCAAAACAAATCGTATATTAAGGCTATCTTTAATTCTTACAGGTAGGTAGATAGATATGTGTATACATGAACGCATTGTAAGAGATCTGTAAGCTGGCAAAATATTTCCGAATAGAGATTAAAAAAAAAATATCGGTTTAACAGGAGAAATTGAGAAATAATTTCATGGTAAACAAAGATGTAAAGAACTGCTTCAAGCGAAGCGATTTACTTTCGAGCAACAAAGCATCTGGGTGCCATCCTTTCAGTTTGTAGAATGTGCGCAAATTTTGTTTGTAGAATGTGCGCAAATTTCATGATAAACAAAGATGTAAAGAACTGCTTCAAGCGAAGCGATTTACTTTCGGGCAACAGAGCATCTGGGTGCCATCATTTCAGTTTGTAGAATGTGCGCACATTTTCAAGAAAAGAAAGAAAATAACTCGGAAGTAAAATCCTGGCTCAAAATGTCTACAAAGATCAACATTTATCAAACGATTTAGAAAAGGATTTTCAATCTTTTCACGTTTTTATTTTTTTAAGACTCTCGTCTCCCCATCTCCCCCTCTCTCCCCCTCTCTCTCTATCTCCGTTGTTTCAAGGATTTCTTTATAATTTCACACCTATTGCTTCTCTTTCTCTTCATATATATATATATATATATATATATATATATATATATATATATATATATATATATATATATATATATATATTGAACAATAAAAAGATATTAAAAATTAAAATCTTTAGACACACTGGGTTGTAGATTAATATTCTTTCTTTTTTTTATTATTATTTCATTTAGATTCATCGACTAGTTTCGGCGAACATGGCCATCATCAGGAGAATAAATATTTCTGCTTGCTGGTAGCAGTAAACTACAGAAATGAATGTCTTGAATGAGAAAATGAACTTTTGTCTGTAGTTTTCATTTGTTTTTTTTAACTTTTTAACATGAATCTTTTAACATTCCTTGTGTTGGTCAAACAGTCTCTTTTAAGTTGTTATTTGAGATAGGAGCTGGATGGATCTATGCTCCTCTGAATCCCCTTGGTCAGTTTGACAGTTTTATTGGTCCTGGAGAGGGGATGTGTCTCTGGAAGAAATATAGTCTTAAGATGTGCTATATTTCTGGGATAAAGTGCTCAATATCAGAGATAGAGCGTGTGTAAATATAAAAGTGAACATAGAAGTCAACACTTAGAGGCGACAGAGTTGATTCAGACCAGGAAAGAGTAGAATTAAAAGTGGTCAATACACGTGTGAAAAATAAAAGTAAAAATAATATGAAGCGCTTTTAACTTTTAAAATAAGGAGGTCAGTTGAATACGCGACCTTGGCGATTTTTTATCAACTCTAAAAAATAAAAATAAAATAAAAATCGCCCGAAGTAACCGTATGGTCGAAACCAAGGTGGCGTATTCAGCTGACCTCCTGATTTTTAAAGTTTATATATATATATATATATATATATATATATATATATATATACCCACGTTTAGGATTGGTGTATACGGGATACTTTCCAATAACCAGCAAACACTATTCTTAAAAGAATGCTTAATACAGAGTAGAGCAAATACAATTATTTATTCGAAAATTATAACATAAATACAAAAACAGCCATTTTCTTTCAATACTTCTGGTGTCTTATCAAGTGATGATGTTGAATGTAGAATAAAGAGTTTTAAAAGGTTCAAAGCACTAGAAGTGTTGAAACAAAATGGCTATTTTTGTAGTGATTTATAACATATTTATGTTATAATTTTCGCACAAATAATTATATATGTCTGTGTGTGTGTGTGTGTGTGTGTGTGTGTGCGTGCGTGCGCGCGTGTGTGTGTGTTTGCCTTTAAACATTTCGCCCCATGTAATGGGATAAAGCCACTAAGATCCAAGTGCTTACCGAGAGAGAAGGAAACTGAGAAAAGGTAACTGAGGAGAAAGGGCAATAAAAAGAAGAGGGTTAATAGCTACAGAGGATGACGTGTGACATTGTTTTGCGTGCGTGAGAGCGCGCGCCTGCGTCATTTAAAATATCTACACATTACTTTTTTCCAAGACCAACATCCGAAATAAAATGGCTGGAATCATAGAAAGAGTAAGCAAACAATCCTTGACACAAAACTTTCATAAGTCAATATGCAAAATTATATAAATAAAAAAAAAATTGCTGCATACATAAAATCAATTCGAACTACACGTTTTTGCATACAGAATAAGTAAAGTTAAGTGAATATCATACATATATATATATCAAACTAAATTTGTTATGTATTTTTTTACCAATATCTATAAATATATATATATCGTTATCTCATATACATCTGTATATATATATATATATATATATATGTGTGTGTGTGTGTATATATATATCGTTATCTCATATACATATTTATATGAGTGTATATATATATATATATATATATATATATATATATATATATATATATATATATGTATGAATAAAAAGAGTTTAAATGAAAAATATTCTTAGATCTCACATTTTGTGCCTTGATAAAGTCCCTCTGAGGACGAAACGCGTTGACGAAGCACAGTTTTTCCTCTTGTCTATTTTTATTCATATATATATATATATATGAAGAAAATATCTGGAAAAACAAACAAAAATCCTTAGAATGTGATTATGTTGTTTTAATTATGAATGAAATGTCGACGTCTGACGTTTCGGTTTAAAAACCTTCTTCGGGACAATATTCATTAAAAATACAATACAATTAACATAATCAATATAACTCGACGAAAACGATGGACATAAAAAACAAGTCTTATCCAAAAACAGATGATATAAAATTTTGAATGATTAGCTTTCCGTTTGAGCGTGGTCACGTTGTCGTCAAATGGGCGACGCTTTAAAAACGTATTCTTAAAATTTTTATAAAATTTGATTCCGATGGAAAGCAGTTCGTTGTAGTAATAAGCGGAGACTAGTAAATTCTTGTATCTTCGGATAAGCATACTGTCAACTGGAAATTTTAAGAATACGTTTTTAAAGCGTCGCCCATTTGACGACAACGTGACCACGCTCAAACGGAAAGCTAATCATTCAAAATTTTATATCATCTGTTTTTGGATAAGACTTGTTTTTTATGTCCATCGTTTTCGTCGATTTATATTGATTATGTTAATTGTATTGTATTTTTAATGAATATTGTCCCGAAGAAGGTTTTTAAACCGAAACGTCAGACGTCGACATTTCATTCATAATTAAAACAACATAATCACATTCTAAGGATTTTTGTTTGTTTTTCCAGATATTTTCTTCATTCTGTCGGATTTATATCCATTTATATTTGCTAACATATATATATATATATATATATATATATATATATGAACACTGAACCTAGCCAGAATATCAGCAGTGTTTCTTTTAATAGCAATCCTTATTTTAATGTTAAGACTTTAATAACAAAGGATAAACATTATCAAAATGTTTCGTTTCATGCCTTTGAAATATTCAGAAAAAATGAAGTTCTGGAAGCTTTTAGTTGATAAACAGTAGAGTCGTCCTAACTCTTTATCCACGGTGTTTGGAATGTTTGGAACATCTCGTTCCAAACATTCCACCAGATTCTTGAAACTGCGTAACGTACCGAATTCTATCCATAATGTCTTTTCCTGTACAGCCATTTCTATATTTGATTCATAAATTATCCACAAGAAGATATTAACAACAATAATTCATAATAAAATCATAACAAGAAGCTGTAATAAAAAAAAAGTCATGTGAAGATAAACCTGTTTGTCTTTACTGCAGATCTTAACAAGCTCAGCCTACCATTTTTTTCTTAGTTATGACATCACTAACATTCACACACCTTCCCATTTAAAGGAAACATTTTACTGCTTTTCTTTGGCATCTACGAATTGCCAGCATCATTACTCTTAAGCTTTAAAAGCATTATAAAGTAAAATTGTCATATTTCTTTTCTGTTTCTCAGCTAAGTGGAGAAGAACATAAGTAGAGAAATGATGTATTTATTTTGTGAAGCTACTATTCAAGCAAGGAGAATTCTCGTAAAATTCTACTGTATAAGCTTTTATTTACTATTCTTTATTAAGCAAGTTTAATTACCATAATAACAATGGGTTTAGTCATTTATGAGGGACTAAATATGAATAAATGGGCTTCCGTAGCTCTATTCTGGAATATAGATATATCTGTTCGTATAGGTATCTGTCTATATTTCTGAGATAAGGTATTATGTACACTATTTTCATTATTCGGACTATTGTCCTGATCTTTGCCGCCATATTTATTATAACGTTTCGGCTGTTGTATGTTCCGGCCTTCTTCAGGTGGTTGGAATGTCGAACTGAACCCTTTATTTCGCTCACTGGATCTAATCAACGCCTTTATACACTGTAGTGGATAAAGGCGTTGGTTAGATCCAGTGACAGGACCCAAAGAGTGTGAGTTCAATACCCGGTTAAGTCAGTGGAGAACTTGAAGAGGGGAATTAACAGGAAATAACTGATAACTGACATCCATTAAACATGGCACGTGGAACTAGAACAGTCTACCGCAGCGAGCGAAATAAAGGGTTCAGTTCGACATTCCAAATAACTGAAGAGGATCGGAGCGTACAACGGCCGAAACGTTATAATAAATATGGTGACAAAGATGAGGGCAATAGACCGAACAATCTGTTCGTATATCCAGCACATTTCCTATCTTATCTCTTCTCCTTGTACGATTTTCTCTCTGACACCGGCTTTGGGGTACCGGCTTTGGGGTACCGGCTTTGGGGTACCGGCTTTGGGCTACTTTGGGGTATTATTAAACTGATTATTTGTCATATTCTCACCTGTCGGGAACGGTTTATCTAAAAAAAAAACCTTTCCTATATTATCATTTGTGAAACAGTTGCAGTTCAAAATAAAGTATAAGCTTCAGATACGATTCGAACTCCCATCTCAAACCACCGAATTCAGATTTTTGAAAAGGTGCTGAAAATATCTTGCTTCTAGTCATTTTCCCAAAATCTTCCCAAACATAAGTTCTGTCCGAATTTTGAATAAAGAAATCAAGTGACCAAATGTTACATTTAATTACAGATTCAATCAACAATGTACTTTCCCTGATTATCTATGACTTCCTTCCATCTATTAACAAGCTTACTAATTCCATTACTGTAAAATTATTTTGGCTTTGATTCGAAGAACTCACAAATGTCAGTTTTAACTTCTTCCAGTTTTACAAAACCTGTTTCTTCCAAATAATTCTGTACGCTACGAAACAAATGGTAGTCTGAAGGAGCAAGATCAGGAGAATAAGGTGGATGAGAAATTTTCTCCCAATCAAGTTCTTCGATCTTTTGTGACGTGCTTCTTGCTGTGTGGGGTCGCGCATTGTCCTGATGAAATATCACCTCTTTTCGATTCACTAGAGCAGGTCTTTTTTTCCTCAAAGCTTGGTTCAAACACTCTAATTGCTGACAGTATATTTGAGCATTAATTATTGCATTAGGTTCTAAGAATTCAAAGTGGATTATTCCTTGGCGATCCCACCAGATTGAAAGAAGAACCTTTTGCCCATGAAGTTCCCTTCTCGGCTGTGGCTGGGGTTCTTCCCCTTTACCAAGCCACTGTCTACAACGCTTAACATTTCGATAAAAGATCCATTTTTCGTCGCTAGTCATAAGTCTATCCAAAAAAGGTGAAACAAGTTGGCAAGAATGGAGAGAAGAGCAGATGTCAACTCGGGATTTGAGGTTGTTTTCAGACAATTCATGAGGTACCCATTTTCCAAGTTTAGGAACTTTTCCAAGTTTTTGAAGATGACTATGAACAGTTGTATGGCTTGAACTGAGAACCACTGCCAATTCCTCAACTGATAAAGCATGATTTTCTTCAAGGGCTGCTTCAAGAAGCTTTTCATCAAACTCAACTGGACGTCCGGTTCGATCTTCATCTTCAAGGGTGAAATCTCCACCTCTGAATTTTGCAAACCATCTTCTGCAAGTTCTTTCATTAACACATTCCTCTCCATACACTGAGTGAATGTTTCTAGCCGCTTCGGCTGCTGAGTTTTCTTTCTTGAACTCATAAAGCATTATGTGCCTCAAATGATTCTTGGGTACTTCCATGTTAGCAGGGTTTTAATCAAACAAAATTTAACTTTATTGTTCTCTGAAATAAAATTTGATCAGTTTAAATGCATCTAAATATAAAAATAATTAGACATTATAAAATACTCTTTAAATTTCGTTCATTTTAACAAAAAGTTAAAATTCGGACAGAACTTATGGGATGACCTATATATATATATATATATATATATATATATAAATTCTCAGAGTTAACATGTACAAAAAGACACTATTTATAAAATGCATTTATGAGCACAAAACAATTTAGCTAATGCGCTCGTCATACATAAAAATAAATTCAACCACAATTTTGATTTTAAAAATACTACATTCATAAAAAAGAAAATGACTCACTAAGAAGGAAAATCCTCGGGAGTGCCGCCATTGAATATTACCCAAATAATAATCTACGCCAAGGCTTTTTCCCTATTTCACCTTTCTTAATAGAATTAATACTCTTCCAAACAAACGTACAGTATCAAGAAATCAAAAGAAAATGGTTGAATCCGTCAACACAACAATAAAAATAATATCTCCACACGTGACAGTAATTGACGTAATTTTCAGTTAACAGTATGAAAATAGCGTTCTCTAAATTCTTCCAATTGCTAAGGACATTTTGTTTTGTTATTATTAGTTACTTTGTTTAATAAATTCATTTCGTTTTTGCCTTTTGTAAAATTGTATTGCAGATAATATTTTTTCTAAAATTGTATTGCTGGTAATATTTTTCTTTTTCAAAAATGTATTGCTGGTAATAATTTTTCTAAAAAAGTATTGCTGGTATGAAAACCTATTTTTATATACATTTATAGTGTTTTGAACACAGTTTGAGGATTTAACTATTTGCCCATAGCTGGGACCCTAACAGGTGGTACCACCCCGGCTCAGGGTGGACCTGGAAACACTAGCAATTAAGAGGTGGTTCCACGCTCCTCAAAACCTTCTGATCAAAGGCCTTCCTGTCGGATGTAGTTTAGCGTCTTACCCTGGACGCGGAGGTAGTTTATTGCTATACCTAGGACGAGAAAGTTTTCATGTTTCAATACTATGATTGTACTTCTTCAGGCGAAGGTAAATAACTCGTGATTAAATGATTTTTAAGGAAAATTTGTTTAAAAAACATTTAATCATCAGTTACTAACCATTGTCTGAAGAAGTACAATCATAGTATTGAAACATGAAAGCTTTTGTGTAGCAAGTTCAATGTGTTTTTATTATAATCTCTAATAATAAAAATATATTGCTCTACTTTGTATTGAGCACTTTTTTAAAACTAAATGCTACGAACAGTTGAATTTTAATCCATCTTTTATTTCTCTCATTAGTATATATATATATATATATATATATATATATAATAGCTGGCAACTTGTATAGGAGGATATATGTCTATTAGGGAGGCTAGCTAATCCCTATTGCAGATGCTCACTCAGGCACATTTTGTGTTTGTTCAACGCCCACAGAGCCCACCTGTGGTTTATACTGCAACTATGCTGAGAAGACCTTAGTTACAGTTTCTGTGAGATAGCCTGTTATCTAGCGTGATCAACAATCTGAACAAGGCCAGCACACTCAAACCCGCAGTCATGATGACTTTTGACTTCGTTCTAGCACAGATGTCGACGACCCCCAAGCGTTCGTCTACCCAATTTCACTTACAAGGCTTAGGCCAACCCGTGGTACATATATATATATATATATATATATATATATATATATATATATATATATATATATATATATATATATATATATATATATATATATATATATATATATATATATATATATATATATAGAGATAGAGAGAGAGAGAGAGAGAGAGAGAGAGAGATTGTTAGGGAGAAAAAAAAGAAAAAACAATGAAATAATCATGCTTACTTTAGTGATGTCTGTAACATGGAAAAAGGCAAGTTACGTAATGTTTTGTCCCCGACGCTTTCTATGATTACTTTATAGAATCGACTCCAAACTTCAATTTGTGTCTTCAACGATAATTTGTTTTACTGTAGAATTTTTAACCTGTCCCATATGTTACTTTATCTATACCTAGATATACAAAAAGAAGCATCGACCTCAATCCAATAAATTCGAAATATCGATTAGTCTTCCAGTTCATAGACACGATCCGGGCAAAATCAATCAAATATTTATTCAGTGATCAAATGTTATGCTGTATCGCATTGCTATGTATCCCATTCCCGGTACGAGACGTTGGTGTTCGAATCCAGGTAATGTGAGGATTTTGAATGCTGATTTTTAAGATGGTCTTCCTTTATTGCAAATTTCATCTAACAAATCTTCCTTCTGATTACACTATACATGAAAGATAATATTTTCGGTATATTTTATTAGTATATATATAACAAAATAATCTTTCATCGGGTATCCAACAACATCAGAAAAGGATTTCTTTTCGCAAAAAACAAAATCAATTTTATTGAGACAAAACGTTGCATACATTAAGCTTGTTTTTTTTTCATTAGTATTGTTATAGTAAATAGTTATATGAAATAGTTATAGGAAGCACTTATAGGAAATAATTATAGGAAAAAATTACAGAAAAACTGTTAAAGACTGTTATAGATTTCTTATAGAAAATAGTTATAGGAAATTGTTATAGATAATAGGTATAGGAAATTGTTATAGGAAATAGTATAGGAATGATTATGAGAAAAATGATAGAAATTGTTATAAGTAATAGTTATAGATTTATTACAGAATATAGTTATATGAAATTGTTATAGGAAATAGTTAGAGGAAATAGTTAGAGGAAATAATTATGGTACCATTGTTATAGGATATAGTTATAGTTTGTTACAGAAAATAATTCTAGGAAATTGTAATAGTAAATAGTTATAGGATATACTTCTAGTTAAAATAATGATAGGAAATTGCTATAGTAAATAGTTTTATGAATTATTTTTAGAAAATATTTATAGGAAATAATTATATGAAAAATTTTATAAAATATAATTATAGACTTTTTATATTAAATACTTATAAAAATTATCATAGAAAATAGGTATAGGAAATTGTTATAGAAAATAGTTTTTAGATAATTTTCAATTAAATGTTTTATAGTTTCTATATGCTAAATTCTTTCACTACTAATTTTGCAAAGAGTGGAATAGATTGAAATGATCTAACCGCGTATTAATCGTGGGAGACTGGTGAATCATAATACTTTCAAATCATGGGATGAATAAATGTTTTATACTATTGATTTCGGCCAGTGAACCGATGTTTCTGCCATATTTAGTGATTGTGGGGTTTTTTTTTATTACTAATCTTATTTTCTTTAGTTTCTTGTAAATATTTTTTGTATTCATATTGTAAATACTCATTGGGGCTAGCTTTTAGAATTGTTGTTTTATTCCCCTCCCCCCACAGACAACAAATTGTAAATATGGGGACTAGTTAGTATTTTCATAGAGACAAAGAGATATTATGGTGATTGCAGTAAGAAAGGTACCTATGAATGTGTTGTTTTGGTGTAAGGAATATTGTTCGTACGATTGGGCCAGTGTTTGCGGCTAGCTAAGTTATAGTTAAGACAGAAGAAGACCGTCCTTTCCCCAATCCCCCTTTTCGGCCTTGTGCCACATTTCTGTATTAAACAGAATAAATATCACTTTCAAATCATAACACTTTCAATTCATCTTCATCTGGATAAATTGATAATTACTCTTTATTAAGACAGACGTTTCCTAGTCAAAATTTTGATTGCAAAGGTGTCGGTGGTAAATAAGTATAGCAAATTGTTTAGTTTTAAGACCCATTTATGTTCGTTTATTTTTTTCCGTTTTTCCTGTTTCGATTGGAAGGTTAGGTGGCTTTAATTTTTAACTGTAAAGTGTTCTTGATATTCAGATTAAAGAAATTTCAATCAACTTTATGATTTATGGAAAGTGTAGGTAATATAATATGTCTAGATTTGTTGTTATCGCTTTGTACTTTCTTCATGGCGTGAATTATTAAAGGTGAAGTCTCGGTGCAAGACCCGTCCATACCTGGAGGCCTATCTCAAATCTGGTCATTCCACTGGGAGCCAAGGTTTCTACTTTCGCTTAGGCTTCGTGCCAATTTGCTGCAGTAGTCGGCTTAAAACATTCAAAGAAATACGTAGAGATTAAGAGTATTAAATCAATTCGGTTTATTTTGGTATATTGCTTTCATTATTAAAGTCTTCTTAATTAATATACAATTTAGTGGAACTTCTGATCAATCACTTTCCACTTTGTTAACAAGGGTTTACTAAATATTATATGTATTTTAATCGTCGAATCAATTAACAACGTTACAACTTTTAATCAATAAAAAAAACATTGGAATTCTGGGAAAAAATGACATATTATTATCGTTTAGAAGTAAAGTAACTATTTGTATGTAAATTTATTTTGTCATAAATATACTGTTTATGATTATAGAAGTACCTAGAAAAATGACTCTTTAAAATGAGTGGTTTAGCAACAGGGATAGTGTTAATGTTTATACACCTCGTTTCAGTCAGTTATTTGCTATGCGTGATACAGGCTTAGGCGATCATGTACCTTTCGATACATGACTGACGAGGCAGATTGTTTCCCGCAGTAGGTTGTCATTTCTTTCTGCGGTAGACCAGTTGCCATCCAAGCCTATAGAACCCGGTCTGTCCTGCTATTTACCCATAGCCTTTGAGAGGAAGAAGATTCATACCTTTCCCAAGGTTATTAACACGTAAGTGAATGTAATGGATTTAATTGGATTTCGAACTCGGCTCTTTGATTCCTCAATCTGAGTATTACTTTACCATGCCTCCATACACCTCGTTTACATTATCTAAAAACACGGGATTAAATCTATTAAATTTCATTATGACATTAACTTTGCATAGCAACATTATCAGTGAATGATTTCTCATTAATTTCATGGCATAAAATATCTCGTATTGTATTTTCTAACGGTAAATTAAACTAAAATTCAAGATACTTTTTTGAAATACCATTTAGAAAAAAATCAGTAGTTACTCATAAAAAATAAATTTTATCTCTATCTATAAAAGGCAGGATGTTTGTGTGTGTGTGTGTGTGTGTGTGTGTGTGTGTGTGTGTGTGTGTGTGTGTGTGTGTGTGTGTAACGAAAGCACGGCCGCAATTTCGATGGATTTGCACCAATATTTACATGCACATGCTCCAAGTTAGCGGAAAGGCCAAGACTTTGCATTTCCCAACTCCCATCGATAGTGGAAATAATCGATTTTTTCATGCTTCTACCGCAGTTTTTATATAGTTGGCTGCCACGAATAGGCAGGAAGATTCTATTGGCCAGCATGAGAGCCAACAGCTGACTGACACGAACGTTAACTAGCATGCAAAAAAAAAAAATAGATAGCTGCATTCGTCACAAGTGGGAAAAATTTAAATCTGCATGGCACTTTACTTCAATTGGCTCATTCGCTTGCTTAAACTCAACGTTGATTCTGATTCCGCAGAACTGGGTTGGGTGTGAAAAAGTATGTGTTGTTAACATTCTTTTTTCATTCGTTTTTCCAGTTACGAGTCCTTTTTAAAGATGATCGTTTTGTGTTCATTTTGTTTAGTTCTTTTTTTTGTAACAGATTTAATGTTTAGTATAGAGCTTAGAAGAAATTCGCAGTGTGAGATAGGCAATAAGTAAGGCATGTAGCAACATCAGCATGGCAAAGAGCACTCCTTTAAAGGCAAGGAAGGGCAAAAATATTTTAAGTCAAGTGATAGCGATTGCTGTATGAGTCGTACGGTTTTTGAATCAAGCACGGGCAACGCCGGGCCAGGCTGCTAGTCATAAATATATATTTATTAAATTCATGTATAAAAAATATACACAATACCCTATATTGATTCCACAACTTGGAGTATCATGCTACATTATTTAAATTATTATCCTTAAGGACACATGGCACAGTGGATAAAGGTGTTAGTAGATCCAGTGACAGGACCCAAAGAGTGTGAGTTCAATACCTGGTTAAGACAGTGGAGAAGTTTCAGAAGGAAATTAACAGGAGATAACTGATAACTGACATCCATTAAACATGTCACGTGGAACTAGAACAGTCTAACTCAGTGAGCGAAATAAAGGGTTCAATTCGACATTCCAATTCAATAAAATTCCAACCACCTGAAGAAGGCCGGAGCGTACAAAGGCCGAAACGTTGTAATACTTATGGCGACAAAGATGAGGACAATAGTCCGAATAATGTAAATAATGTACATAATACCTCATCTCAGAAATAGAGACAGATACTGAGTTTCATGGTGTCTGAAATTCTCAGGTGCAATTAATGTAGGAAATTATGTATATTTTTAATATATTAAATAGCTTTGTTGTTGAACAGTTTTTCTTATACTGCATGGTATATATATATATATATATATATGTGTGTGTGTGTCTGTCTGTGTGTCTCTGTGTGTCTGTGTGTGTGTGTCTCTGTGTGTCTCTGTGTGTGTGTATTTGTTTACCAACGCTTGCTTGTACATTTAATTATATTCCTCCATTCTGATTATATCTTCTGAAGAGAATTCTGTTAAAAACTAAATATAACAAAGTATTATTGAATATAACTTTCTTGTGAGAGACTGTAACATTTATAAGAAAGTCTAGTAAAATAGGATTAATAAATTATTTCTTTACATCAAATAAAATTAAAATGTCATATTTCGTTATAATCGTGTCAAAAATTCAACCTACATTTTTTATTTACTAGACACAAAATTACAAATTACTCAAAGATAAATAAAGTTGATCATAAATGAATTTATTTTTATGAATAAACATTTCAGACAGAAGAATATTAAACTAACTTACATTTTTTTGTGAATTTCGTACAAAAAGTTTGTTTTTGCAATGAAATCACAAAATAATAAATCCGAAAGAAATAAAATAAATAAATCTAATACTTCAATTAAATAATCTAAAATTATACCAACTGTAAAAAGCAAACATTTCGTAAGTCAGCACAAGCAATGCACTACCACAAACTCAAAGAAAAAATTCTTCGCTCTCAGTAGAACGATGAGATATGAGGTCGCCGCCAGTTATACTCAAGAGATGCACCATGACATTGTCTTTAATAAAGAACGCCATAACAGTTGTTTTCCTTTTTGTTTTGCAGATATTGTACGCCTTTCTTTTGGCGTTGTATATCATTTATGTTGAATTGAGAGTTATCCTACTGGAATGGCTGCCAAGAAAAGGCAAGAGGACACATACCGTCCTGATATTCAAAACATATTTAGAAGAAGACAAATCCCGATTTTTCCAAGAGTATAGTGCGAAATGGAGGAAACAGAATTCATGAAGACTTAAAATCGGCACCCTGAGTTCGCTTTCAGCTCCGATACATACACTTTTATAATTTGAAAACACGTGGCAAGGAAATGACTCGGTAACTTTTTGGAAAAGTTTTACAGACAAAGTTTTACGTAACCCAAAATATTAATTAAGAAGTCATGACAGGCGATAGATTTGACTATGAATATTGAACATTTAAGAATTACTATTCGTTTTCTGTGCTAAATCACCTGTGAAAGGCGTTCCATTTTATTAAAGAATTAATTTTAATTCTTCAATAAAATGGCACGAGAAGTACACGCGACTGATGAATTACTAAGAAAAAATAGCAGAAAACATTGTGATATAAAAGTTCCACAGATCAATGCCTACCAATATTTAATCTGACGTTTCTTCTACAGAGAATTTATTCTTTTAACAAGCCTAAATACCTCATTATCACAAGAAACATGTTCACGTTGCTGGATCGTCCCCGACATTTGCCGTTTAATTTTTTTAATAAGAAACTTGTTACTTTATTTACGCCTCTCCAGAACCGGTTTTAACTAAAAACTATCTTTTTATTAAATGTAGCATTTCAACCATTTTTATTTTTTCTATTTATTTGTAACTTTTTTACCGAATTTCTATTCAGGCTATTAACCTACGGTAGTGAGATGACAGTACAAAGAGAAAATAAGTTCTCGATACGATTCGAACTCATGTCACTTTTTCTTCAGAGAAGTTGAAGAAGAATCCCTCATTATCCTAAATGTATTCAAGTTGAATATTATCGGAACTTTTACTCAAATTTTCAACCTTTGGTTGTGAGAAAACAGCGCATGATCGGAAATAAATATTTCTATAAATAATGAAAGGATGTGCACAAGATAAAAGTCTCTGATTACAGCGTTTCTGCTCGAGATGAAAAAGCGGAACATTAATCTTCTTAATGGAAGTATTAATGACTATGTCTGGATAATGAGCAGAATTATATAATCAGCTTTCAAAGAAAACAGGAACCTCTTCACTGAAATCTCTTCAACCAATCAAAACATTTTGTCGAAAATAATTATTCAAATATTTACTGAACAAGCAGCAAATGAAAACAGGACGAAAAAAAAAAAAACAGTTAACACCTATTTTTTTTTAAGTAGTTCAAAATTGGTTCAACATGGAACTAATTTTCATTTGAAATATGCTGTGTGCCCACGCAAAAAGTTTTTTTTTTAATATTTTGGGAAATTTACTAAGGAAACATTATGCAAAAAATTATACTCTAAATATCTTAGCTACAATTTATTTTCTGAATTTTAGTCCAAAATCACATGAAATTCCATATTTTTATCCTTTTCTCAGTCATTTTAAATCAGCGAGATAAATATAAGAGTAAATGTAATTGAACTAAAGTATTAGTTTATCAATGATAACAAACTCGAATGAAGTAAAACCCAAATGACTTGATGATGAAGCTCCCGCGGGTGCACTAAATGATTTGATTGTATCAGAGTTGTTACGGGGATGGGAATGGGAAAGATGGAAGACTTGTTGTTTTTGTTGTTGTTTACTCTTTTGGGGGTTAATTTCATCTCCGTCTCGGCAAACGTAAATCTAAGTATGAGACAAAAGAGTAGATTAAGTAGAAGTAAATGCAAAGACTGATAATTTCTATCTGTTGTTAAGGCAACATGCAGAGAGAAAGCTGAATTTAGAAGTGAAATGGTTGTGGTCGTCATCGTCGGTGGCGTCATTCTCTCAGCCTGTCGGTGTTGACATCAAACACTGGTCTGAGTCACATTTCTCTCTCTCTCTCTCTCTCTCTCTCTCTCTCTCTCTATCTATCTATCTATCTATCTATCTTTCTCATCGTGTCGGCACTGACAACAAACGGTGGTTTGTGTTGGATTGTGTTTCAGTGTTGGTATATATAGTTTTAGTTGGCTCGAAACTAAGTTTTTCGTTTTTGAGCGGCCGCGGGTCTAACTAGTGATAATGTATTATTAATTTTGTGCGTGGATCTGATGCACAGAAAACGTATTTGCGCAGTCCGATTTGGGTAGTCGAACTGTCAATATCGGGTTTATGTAGAAAATGTAAGAGGCACGACAGAGTCAAAAAGATGCAAACCACTTGTTCAATGAAGACCTGCGGCATGAACAGATATAATCGTTTGTAGTTCACAATACATGAGTTGACGCCCAGCATTTAATTTTTGCACTGAAAAAAACTTGATAGTTGTCGGCATAATCTAGACACTAAGAAAATAGTAACACAACTATCATTATAATCTGTTTCGGAGTTATTGTAAATAATTTACTCAAGAGACAATAGCGACCTTACAACATATGATCTTAAATAGTAATATTAAGAAATTGATTTTCTTTTCAATTCAAACCCAACAACAAATTTTCTTCTCTTGTTTACATGCGACAATTACGTTTCGAAAATGTTCGATGCAGTCAACTCAAAATTGGAAAGTAAAAAATAAAAATGTTCATTTTCGTCCGAATGTTTTAAAATGAGAAGTTATCATTATATGCATTGTACACATATATTTTGCTTCTTATGCCAACAAAGCTTCGACCAATGTGCCACCTGTTCTTCTTCAAATGTTTGCTTTCGAACTAGGAAATGTGTTTCGATTTAATCCACGGTGATAGACTTTTCTCCTTTCGGTTTCCATGCTTAGAGGATATATAATATGTAGGAGGAAACCGTTTCTTCTGTAGCACAGACACTGGAACAACACTCGCAAGGGACTCTGGTTTAGCACACACAGATCTGAACTGCACTGAGAGCAAAAGCTTACTGCCATCCCAACTAACACTCGCCTCTTATTCATTTTGTAAAACCAGAAAAATAGCATCTTGTGCACGGTACCAGCTTCGGACTGACTCAGCGACGCATGCGCCGTGACATTCCAGTGTCGATGCTCGAATGGTTCGCCTCGCTCACAATTTGTTCGTCTTATGCGCAAATTTAGACTACGGCACGCTGGCCCTCTTGGATCTTCGTGGTAATTCTCCAGCACGATATCTCCACTGATCACCTGATCACAAAAGTGGTAGCCTGGCGGCGATACCTTTCGCCCGTTGCTTCTTCGCATAGACGAGAAGAGGGGTTCTGCTTCCTCTCTTGCTTTCTCCTTGGGCGAACTGTCCGATTCCGTATCTACGTTGTCCTGCAGCAGACTCCCGATCCGCGAATCTGAAGACGTTGTACTGCCGCAGTTTTCCCTCGACGTGTTGACACTACGGCGTGGGTGCAGATCCTTCACTTGGCGGGGTACTCCGTCCACCAAACAATATTGTAGGCTGATTATTTTATCCACGTGACTCCTGCCGAGCTTTGTGTTACACTGACTCTGCGGCGCCTTGACCCATACACGATTTCCGATCTGGTAAGATCTGAGCCCAGGATAATCCTCTTCGCCCGAACTTCATATCAAAGATCACATTGACCGCTGCGAGTTGTCATTTTTCGGGGTCACATTGTGCCAGTAGACAGCCTCCCGGACGGAACAGCGCATTCTGACCGCAATCCACATCACTGTTTTGTGATATCACTTGGCTATGCTATTCCAGGGTGTGGCGTACGCGGAACGAAATCACAAATGTATTCACAACACATGTGCAAAATCTCGGAACTCTTTACTGCACAACGCTGTGTCAGTGTACGTAAGGAGCTCTTATAGTGGACCACGCTCAAAGAACACTGCTTCCATCTGTCGAATCACTCTTGCCGAGTCTTGTCTCGGCAATTGCTTCCAAATAGAAAAATGCAACGGGCCGCAGTCTGTGAGCGTAAAGAAATGTGAGACACCGTGATGCGTTATGTTCATTCCTAACCTGTGCCAGTTCCTGGTCAACTCAAACTTTTCCTTCTCCCAGTGATTTGGTGCTGGGTCTATTGATTGGCATTCTTCGCACGCCCATATGGCTGACTTAACAGTTGCTTTTGTTGTTGCTGGGCAAACTCTCCTTGCAAAATAGGTGCTGCGCTGTTCTGCCAGGTACCCACTGCTTCTCTATATAGACAAGATTTGGCCCGAGTTCAGCTCATCTACGTGGTCAGCACCGATCAGTGGCCCGGGTCCGTTTTCTCTCCTCATCGCGTTAAACCACCGCTGCGGCACCATCGTCAATCATGTTTTGAGTTGATGCAACCAACGTCACGTCCACAGACAGCTCGTACTCTTTCTCCAGTCCCTTGGGTGTATTCAACTGCCCCCTGAATGAGCATCTCGATTGCTTCCTTTGTGCGCATTCGCGCTTTCACGGTCAGGGTATACCATACCCAGTGGTACACACACATAGAGTCTGTCTCCATGTACAGCAACTTGACCTCGCTATCATGCCCACTATAGGCAGTGTCTCAATGTTTGGCGCCTGTTGATGTCAGATGGAGATGGGATCAGAGAGCCCAGTGACAAAAGTCATTTTAGTGTGCTTTTCTAACTCAAATCCCTCGAACCCAGCCAATTCGACCAACTGCCTGATTATGTTTCCGTAAACGTCCACCTGCTCGCCAGCCCACCCGCCTGACCACGGTCAGCTTCCTATAGGCAGTGAACGTGCCATCGGCGAACGCCTCCTTCGACCGGGCCTCTATCTGATTTATATCACTTTGGTTGTCTTCATCCATCTTCAGGGTCAGTGCACTCCCTCCAGATACAATGGCAGCAGGCATACCACATCCTCCACAAGCTGACGTCTCGCCACCGGCCTCACCTTTGCCAGCCACGCTACCACGTCTCCCTCGCTAATAAATCGCTTTATCATGTCTCTGCTTACGTGTAATTTCGCTATAATAATTTCGCCGAAATAGATTGTAGTGGGAAAAACCGCAAGGACTCTGGTTTAGTACACACCGCAACGCACCGACCCGACCTGAACTGACCTGACCTGAGCGCAAACGCTTACTGTAAGAGGAAGGTCAGTAATAAGGCCGCGGCGTATAAAGTGGTCCCCCCACCACGCCTCACAAACTCTACAAACTCCATGGTACTCCAATGGTTGCTTATAGTCATTCATAGTTTACAAAACAAACATTCGCCTACTTTATTCGTTTTTGACAAGCTAAATTATATTTATCTCTAAAAATCTAATATTTATTTTCTGCCAGTTTTTTGAAGTATTTTCTGATATTTCCTCCATCTTGTTCTACATATTTTCATTATTCCCTGGTGTTTTCATTTTTCTCTTCCCTTCTGTGTTCTAATAATTTTTTTTATTGATTTACCTTTCTTGCATTTTGCTTTATGCACTATTAATTTTGCCCATTTCTTGATTCCGAACACCATTCCAATGTTCTGGCTGAAGATTCGAACAGTAGCAACGTTTCCAAGTAATTTTTATTTGTACTCAAATATCTTTCATATGAATAATAGTTAGAAGTTTTCACTGGTGACCAAGTGACTGCAAGTCATTTTAGTGATTACTATTCTTATTATTCATAGATTTGCATGTCGGCACATGGCAGTTAACAAAGGAGTTTACCATCATGAAATTTCACTAGAATCTTTAGTATTCTTTCAAACTTCACACTCTGAAAAGCCTCAAGTCTTAAGCCTAGAACACTAACCATCAATTAAAATTACACTACTACTAACCATGGGTATATCATACCCGATTTTGAAAATATCAAAAAAATATTAAATATAAATCTTTATTTGATATATTTTATATGCAGGCACTTCAAACTTTGTACGTTAAGATAACATTAATAGGAACTGGAAAAACGTATTATTTAGGTAAGAAAATCAGGTGCTGGAAATTGTAATTAAACATAGGAAAATTTGCGCTGGGTACTATATACCCATGGTTAATGTTCTAGGGTTAAATCAAGTTTTTGGCATGAGTCCAAATATTCCAATTGTGGGTATCAACAACTTTCTTTTTTGCAGATTCTTCCAGCTCTTCAAATGAAGTTGTGTAATTTTTCTCCGATTTTTTCTTTCATTTTTTCGAGTATTTCTTGCTTTCTTTGTTTATGATTATCTGATATTATCTTCTCGTTGGAATGACTTCACGGTATTATCTTTACTATTCTATTTTTATGTGTATGACGTGTAGTATCTCCATGATTACAAATTAAGCTCTCTGACTAAGAATAACAATATTAAGTGTGGGGAGGAATTGTGAAAAGCAAGAAAGAAGTGGAAAGGAAAAGGAATTTGCGAGAAAGGAAATGTAGGGATTAAAAATGCCAGAGAAAAATAAAAAAAAAAACATGGAAAATTAATAATAAAGATAGGAATAAAAAGCGATGACAAAAGAAATCTTTTGAAACGTGGTAAGGCAGGTGTTGATGTAAATGCGTAAAAATGCAATACGTTAGAATTCTTTATGGAAAAAAATAACTAACAAAAGCTAAAAAATGATACAATGAAAACTATTAATGAAATCGTTATTGCTTTTATGTGTCTGTTTAAGACATAAAGGATGGACGTAGAACAGACCTTGGAAGGTATAATGAAGAGGAGTCTAAGACACAAAAGCCCGCAAGAAGAACAGAAGCATGAGATAATCGATAGTATTATTTGTCATCTCCCGGGGAGATTCCACGTGTCCAGCTTGTTATAATTCTTCAATGAAGAATTTTACTGACACTAAAAAAGGTCAAATGACACTATTTCGTCTCATTTTTCCAGCAGCTTTTACAAGTTTGCCGCGCCTTTTAAAGAATCCTGTTAAATATATTTTTACTTTGCTTATGTTTATTGTTACACTTATCGAAAGAGTGATTTCCTTAGAGCTGCCAGTCTAATGACTAATGCTTTACTTTTTCGACTACAGCTAACAGATTTCTCGGGCTGTTTTTTATTTATTTATTTATTTTTTTATCCATTAGGATAATTCCCATTGTTCTGATGATGAGCAAAATTCAAATGAACTACATTATACTATTTACATTATTCGGACTATTGTACTCATCTTTGTCGCCATATTTATTACAACGTTTCTTCTTTTTTACGCTCCGGCCTTCTTCAGTATCTGTCTATATTTCTGAGATGATGTATTATGTACATTGTTTACATTATTCGGACTATTGTACTCATCTTTTTCGCCATATTTATTACAACGTTTCGGCCGCTGTACGCACCGGCCTTCTTAGGTATCTCTCTATATTTCTGAAATGTGGTATTATGTACATTATTTACATTATTCGGACTATTGTCCTCATCTTTGTCTCCATATTTATTACAACGTTTCAGCCGTTGTTCGCTCCGGCCTTCTTCAGGTGGTTTAAATATCGAACTGAACCCTTTATTTCGCTCACTGGATTATACTGTTCTAGTTCCACGTGCCATGTTTAATGGATATCAGTTATCAGTTATCGCCTGTTGATTCCCCTCACCAAGTTTTCCACTGCCTTAACCAGGTATTGGACTCACACTCTTTGGATCCCGTCACTGAATCTAACTAACGCCATTATCCACTGTGCCATGTGTCCTACATTACAACAATTTACATGTATATTTTTAATGGAGTAATGGATAACGTCTCGGAATGAGGAATCGGAGAATACATTACATTCATTTACCCTTGGGAAAGGTATGGATGTTCTTGTCCCCCACCATTTCAGGAGGACAGACTGGGTTCTATAGCCTTGGATGGCAACTGGTCTAGGAGACGGACAACTCTGAATTCAAAACCTGCAGAGGGTCGTTTGGGGATCTGGTCTCTGTATTCCGTTCTTCAAAAAGTGTGGTTGGTTCTGCACAAAACCATTACCACTATAATCAAATCATATGTGCAGGTTGATTCGTTGTCAGTTCCTAAGAACTGAGTTGCCTGACCCTCATACGTCGATTATTTAATGCCTACAACATCTTTTATTGCTGGTAATATTTTGTTTTGTCAAAAATCTGTTTCTGGTAATATTTTTCCTTCAAAATTGCATTGCTGGCAATAATTCGCTTCAAAAAAGCATTGCTGTTAATCGTTAGCTGGGACCCTAACAGGTGCTACCACTCTGGGTCAGGGTGCACCTTGGAACATCAGCAATTAAGAGGTGGTTCCACGCACCTCAAAACCTCCTGATTAGAGACCTTGCTGCTGGATGTAGTTTATCGTCATACCCAGAACACGGACGTAGTTTAACGTCTTACCCAGGACGGACAACTTTTATGGAATAGAAGAATTTAAGATTGATCTGATCGTGTAAGTGATGCAATAATTTTGCTGATGTGATTCATTATCTGCAGAAAGCATATAATTCAACACTTGATTCAGCAGTTGGTACTAATTAAAAATTAGTGGTACTAATTAGAAAAAGGTAATAACTATTAAACTAAGTAAAGGAAATGAAAATGAAATTGGTCCAGACAAATGTTTATGTAAAAGAAGATTTTGTTTCAACTGGGGATTTAACTGAAATTAAATTTCGAATTTAAATATCCTAAATTATATTACATTTTTCAAATTTAAATCACACAATTTTCAATTTAAATCTTCTTAAACAAACTTCTTTGATTTTTATGTCTATATCCATGAGTACATTGCTAATGAAGAAAAAATAAAACGCTTTTTACATAATAAGTTTCACAGATTTTGCGTTTGCTAGGATTCAATCCTTTAAGCCTATTCATGTATCAGTCAAACTTCGAACTGTTGAGATGCATTAGTTTGTGATCATTTAAATATTGATGTTTTGAATATCGAAATATCCTATATGCCACCGAGTTTATTAAACATTGGAAGATACAATTAGTTCGTAACGTAAAGAGGCAATAACTATTGAATTAAAGAAAAAAAGATATTCGAGATTATCATCACTGAAAGCAACAATTAATATTGCGAATATTACTTTATTCGGTTTCGCATTGATTAAATATTGAGAGATAAAATAAAAGCGTAACATATAGATGTAGGAATGAACTACATACACCCTTGTGAAAATTATTTGAAACAACCGATTTAGTTTCTTTTCTTTCACCATACAGACAGTTTTAGACCCACTGGAGTGACTGTGTGTAATCGATTTCTATTTTTTTTCCTCAGATTAGGTCATTTGAAATGGTGTGCAGTAATATGAATCTATTTTCGAAGTTTATGATGAAATTTGTTTGGCCTTGAAAAATATTGCGTCATCCGTGATTGTATCAGATTTTCATCACGCCCAGACACTATTGTCTCGACTGTCGATTAGTTGTCCTACAGCTATTGTTTGCGATGTACGTTACTCCAAGGTAGCGTGCGAAAATTGCACGCTGTACAAACACACTGGCAAGCCTTACCAGTGAGCAAATCAAGGTACTATAGACTGGCCTTGAAACTGTCCTGATTGAAATCGGTCGACAATCTGTGGTCAATCTGTAAGAAACGAGTTCGTGTAATGGACATACGAAGTACTAACATGTGCACTGGGTCATACTTCATTGGAAATATACGGGAAAAGAATGAAATAATAAAGGAATTGTTCGTTTTGTTTCAATTAATTTGCACAATGATGTAAGTTGCAGCAAGTGTTTTATTGTAGTTTTCCGATCGATGATAGATTAACCAATGGCTGATGCAATGAATTTAAGAGTAATATATATATATATATATATATATATATATATATATATATATATATATATATATAAAACAGAGGATGTCTGTGTGTCTGTCTCATTCCTTTTCACTCGAGATCCATACAACCGATTTTGACCAAATTTGCCACATACATTGGGCAATGGAAAAGATAAGTTCTTAGCGTAAAAC